CACCTTTGGTCCCGGAGCCTTTCCAGCAGGACCTGCAGGTGCCCAAGATCAAACCCATCTGGTTTCAAAGTGAAAACCTGCTGAAACCCCAACGTAAAACCCACCCGAGCTTTACCTGCGTCACGTTGGTGACGAAGAAGGGCAGCCAGGCCACAAAGAACATGCCCAGCAGGATGCCCAGCGTCAGGCTGGCCTTCAGCGCCTTCTTGCTGTGCTTGTTGGTGAACCTCCTGCTCTCGCTGCCGGCCGCGGGCTGGCTCGGGGCGTGGGGAACCTGGGGAGGGAGATGGGACAGTGAGTGATTCCCACTGGCTGGAATACAGGCACCAGCCTCCAAGAGAAGTGCCATTTGATGCTGCGGAGCCTGCAGTTATTTCCCTTCTCGCAATGGGCAGGAGGGCAGCACACACTGCCCTGTGAATCGGGAAGAGGAGGCAACAGAAACCCTCATCATGAGGAGTGTTTTAACCATAAAATAGAGGCTTCCTCATCAGGCTGTTCTTTTATAGACAAACCCAGCTCAGACAGGGCGCTGGGGAGGATGAAACATGCCCTGAAGAGGCAGCTCAAGCTGCTGATTAGAGCAGAAACTCTCTCTTTAAAGGCAGGACATCCGAGATTCCAGCCTACAGAGACCATAACTCAGTGCTCTGTCCACTCTTGCAGCCGAAAATGAAGCCATTAGCTCAGCCCTCTGCCACAAACAAATGAGGGCCGTTGGCACCCAGCTTTGGGCCCCAAAAGAGAGGGAAAATGTGGGTAGAAAGATAAAACTCGAGGATTCGCTGCCTGAATCCCCTGGGACAAGGGGGGCAGATGCTGGTTTCACACAGAGCAGAGCGCTCGAGCAGCCTGAGGGCTGCAGCAGGTTGTGTTTGCAGCACCCAAAAACCTGCCTTCTCGGGAGAAAAGGAACATTTGATGATGGCGACTCTATTCTTTCCTTCTCATTTCCCTTGGGAAAGGCTGGTGCATCCCATCACATGCAGGAGCTGGGCAGGTCCCAGAGTCTTGGCTACTTTTGTATGAGAGAGAACAACAAACTAAATCAAGGTATTTAAAGGCAATTAAGCTTGTCATTTCCCTGCAGGATCCGAGGTCAATAAAGACTATTACAGGGAATTAAAGCTGTTACATTTAGTGGCAATTACCTTCTCGTGGAGAAACACAAACAAGCGCAGCCACGTTCTGGTGATAAAAGCCACGCACCCCGCTTTGAGCAGTGATGGAAGGAGGAATCGTGCAGCTCCCGTTAGACACCAGGAAGCAAAAATAGACGCTGGCTCTTCCAAAGGTCCTCTTGGAATTTGGTATTTGCTGTGATTTAAACTCCTTCTCCCCCATCTGTCTCACACCCACCACGGCCAAGATTGAGGAGTGGGAAGTCAGAGAAGACTACAAGCCTCTGGGAGGACCCAGCCAACAGGGGGGTGAAACTCCATTCATTTTTGCCTGGATCTTAATGTATTCCTCATGCTGTTCCTGCGCTCCCGAGCAGCCTGAAAGCTGGGACAAGACACAGGAGACACCAGAGGACACCAAGGAGGTGGATGGATGTTGCCCAAAACCCCCTGTGCAGCCTGCCTGGCTCCAGAAGGCATGAACACCCCCCTGGCACCCAAACCACGGGTGCCAGCAAGGAGCAACGTCCTGTGGGCACCTTACCTGTGGAGCGGTCTCCTCGGTGGTGGCAGCGGCCACGTTGGAGGCGAGGGACGCCACCTGCACCGCCTGCTTGCGGGCTGCCAGGAGGATGCGGCAGTAGGTGAAGGAGATGGCAGTGGAGGGGAGGAAGAAGGTCAGGCAGGAGGCCACCAGGGCATAGGGCAAGCTGACCAGCAGCCGGCACTGGTCCTCGTCCCCGCGGGAGGTGACGTTTGGGGACCGGACCTCGAACTCCAGCTCGTGCCACCCCATCTTGATGGGCAGGAAGGAGGCCAGCGCGGCCAAGGTCCAGGTAGCCAAGATGAGCAAGAGGGCCCTGCAGGAGGTCATCCGCAGCTTGTACTTGAGCGGGGAGATGATGAGCAGGTAGCGGTCCAGGCTGATGATGCAGAGGTTGAGGATGGAGGCGCTGCAGCACATGACATCGAAGGAGTACCAGAGGGAGCAGAAGTCACCCCGCAGCACCCAGCGCCCATAGAGCTGGTTGAGCATGGCCGGGGGCATCACCACCAGCCCCACCATCAGGTCAGACATGAAGAGAGACACCAGGAAGTAGTTGGAGGTGTTGCGGAGGGAGCGCTGGGTGACGATGAGGAGGATGAGGAGGAAGTTCCCTGCCGTGGTCAGCAGGATGATGAAGCAGAGGAAAGCAGCCACCCAGCTGCTCCCCACCAGCAGCGAGCGCTCCCCCAGCACGCTGGCGTTGGGGGATCCCAAGTCACCCTCCATGAGGAGCTGCAGGGACCTTCTCCAGCGTGCCCTGTGCTAGGTGATCATCGCCGGGGCGAGAAGAGCCATCTCTGTGTCTCCGTCCTCCTGCCTCCTCTCCTCCTCCTCTCCCTCTCTTCCCCCACTCTGTCTCTTCACTGGCGATCAGGGCAGAGTGACATTCCCAGGAGCCCATCAGCAGGAGCAAGGTTCCCCTCCCCGTTACTCACAGCCAGGCGTTTCCTCATCCCTGCGAATCCCCCTGCTCCGGGATGTCCCTGGACACTGCTTCCGGATGCTGGGGTTGCTCTGGGCACCACGGAGGCTCGAGATGCTCTGGATGGCAGGATGCTTGAGGTGCCACGGATGCTCTGGGTAGCAGGATGCTCAGATGCTCTGGATGTGCTGGACCAGGGAATAATCTGGACCCCAGGATGCTCCAGATGCTCTGGACCTCAGGATACTTCACATGCTGGGATGCTCTGGACCTCAGGATACTCTGGATGCTGGGGATGCTCTGGACCCCCGAGGTCCAGCACTTGCCCCCCAGCTGGGCTTGGCTCCCTGCAGAGCTCTGTCCCCTGGGGCAGTGGGGCCGCACTGAGCTCGCGAGGAGAGGCAGAGCACGGAGCTGCTCCCAGCCACGCACCCGGCAGGAGGAGGATGCAGCACTCGGGAGTGTGGGGAGGTGTCTGTCCCCGGCAGGGCTGCGTGCGGGGTGTGTGTCTGTGTGTCTGTGTGTCCATGTGCAGGTTCCAGAGCCAGACCTTCACCTGAGGCTCTGTGCTGCACAGCAAAGGATGCAGAAATGCCGGTTTGGAGGAGGTGGGGCTGGGGAGGGTGAGAGGAGGGGATGAGATGAAACGAGATGCTAATGAAAACAGGGATCTGCTCTAAACTCCACAAAGTGGCACAGAGAGAGTTCCCTTTTCTGTCTTAAAGAGACAGCCCGCACCGTGCTCTGCCTCCCCACACCAGCAACAGAGACCCCACCTTGGCGAGGCAGGTGAGCAGTGACCCCCAGGCCAGCAGGTCCATGGGCAAGCCCAGCCCGTGCCAGGCTCCATCGTCTGTGCTGGGTGATTTAAAGCAAAGCCAAATGAAAAGCACCAAAACCTGCACACAACAGCCCGCTCCGAGCAGCCAGAGACACGGGGAGGATTTGCTGGCTGCTTTTCCAGCCATCTGCAGCCAGGGATGGAGGGGGTGAGCAGAAGCCAAGAGAAAAGGCTGCAGAACACCAGGAAAGCATCAGCCTTCCCCTCTCTGCTCCAGGGTTACCTGGGCTGGCCTCAGTGCAGCACATCCCTGGATGGACACACAGCAACTGCCCTTTGGCAAGCGGGAGGCAACATGCCAGAGAACCCAGCGGGTCCCGCTGGCTTCTTCATCAGTTCAACACTTGTAAGTCTTTAAATGCTGTTAGGTCCCTTCTGCCACCACCTCCACACATCACAGCCAACACCTTGGTGCTTGGCAGGGATTGCTTTGAGGTTTTTAACCACCCAGCTGCCAAAAGGCTTTTTTCCCTTCCAGTTCCTGGCTGCAGGTTCTGTTGGGGATGAGCAGAGCCAATGGCACCCACCCCAGCACAAACCAGAGCCAGGCATGTGTGTCTGCTGCGGGCATAGGCTCTGCCCCTTCCTCCCTGCTCCACCACCACAGCTCATGTCATCACGCCTCCCTGGGCAGATGTTGGTGCAGATGTGGGGTGAGAGCCAGCTGTGCACGGCCCCATCCTGCTGCAGCCGCAGCACTGGCTGCACTGCACAACCACCCACCCTGGGACACAAACGTGTCTCTTTACCAACATCTACTTTCCTTATCACCTCTTCAACAGCTTTGTGCTTTCCTCAGTGGCTGAACGGGCACTTGAGGCCTGGAACCATCTCAGAGCAAGGGATGGGGGCGACGCAAAGCAGGGCTCACCTCTGGGCATCCCACAGCCCATAGGCACACGCTGCCGCCCCGGGGCCCCTGCGCCGCTTGACGGCAGCTCACTGGGAAACATCTGCCACCAGTGGCAGGACAAGG